GTCATGAGTGACTCAATATTTTTTTTCTACATAATTTTGTATAGTTAACCTAGACATTTTTCATTACTAAATAGGGAACGGATTTTAAATCGTGTTAATTGAGAGCTGCTCCAAAAAAGAACATATGTAAAAAAATGTCGAGACAATTCTGTTTTTTGTTAATTAAAGAATCAATATATGCTGTTATCCTGAAAATAAAACACGTAAATCGACCATTAAGAGGATATTCTAACAAGGAGAATTGTTATTATTTAGCAAATATAGTGCCAATTATGTTTTACTTTTCATTGTATGCATAAAGCAGACATTTGTAAAAGTAAACTTCATTTTTGTTTAAAATATTTCAATAAAATCTATGAAAAGATATTTTTGAAATATCTGTAAATCATGAAATATTAGTTTTCAAATTGCCCAGCGATCGATAAATAATGTTTATAACGTTAATAATGTATATAATGTAATTTATAAAATATTAATTCTTTATGGCAACAACTGAATCTAAAGTGCGTTTTTTCTTTAAAAGATATAACACGAGGTATCATATTTACTAACTAATAAATGATTAGAAATTAATAAGTGGTTTCTCACAGAGAAATTCATACTATCCGCCTGTTTCTTAAAAACGCAAATCAGAAGAATCAACAGTTTACATTTTATAAATAAGTACAAAACTGACCGTACCGTACTATAAGTTCGAAACTTGATTCTTCGTCCTTCATTCTTCAACAAAAATTCTAGACACCGACCTCAAAAATCCATCAATTCATCCTGTCTTCCCCAGTCACGCCAAATAACGAACGCGTCTCGTCTCTCTGTTCCAGCCGTGGTCGCAGGAAGTCCCGCTGGAAGTTGAAGTTCCACCACCAAGCACTGCCTCCCGAGTACCTGGACCACTACGAGGCGTCTCTCGCTCAAGAAGCTTTAAACACGTCGCCGACGCACGTAGCAGAGCCGACAGTCCCCAGCCCAGCGCCGACAAGCTCAACCTCGACGCCGAGTCCGATCGCGGACGTGCACGGGTGGCTGCAGCGCATCGCAGCGATGCAGCAGGAGCTCTGTCCTCAGCTGCCGCCCCCGCGGTGCCCCACTTCAGGCTCCAGCCAACCAGGAGGCTCGAGGCGGTCGGTGATCACGTCGACCACCTCCCACTCGCTGAACGCGGCGCACCACGCCCATAACCCGCAGTCCCAGGCATCCAGTCGGCCGCCAATGAAGTACTCGGACCTGCCGTACATGGGCGAGATCACTCTGGACAACAGCAAGCCGCGAAGAGGTCGCAAGCCGAAAAAAGCGGACATCTGTCACCTGATTTACAAGAACTACGGCACGATTCTGCCCGGCACGCCCGGCCACGAAGAGAAGAGGCTGTCGCCCAGAGAGAAGCTCGACTGCCGCGAGAGAGTGTCGCCGCAGATCCCTTTCCAGCGGACAGACGTACAAAACAGGATCAGCAGCCTGCTAGAGAAGAGACTCACGCAGGAGTCACGTCGTAGCTTCGGTCTGATAGACAAGGAGCAAGACGAGCCGCTGAATCTGTGCATCAGAGACCTGAACCAGCTGAAAATCAGATTGCTAAGGAAGCACGGCAACGTGTACGAATCGGGACAGGTGAAGAGCGAGACCTCCAGCGACGGGGAGGAGGTCGAGTGCATAGGCTCCTCCTTCCCGGAGCCCGGCTACCGCCCACTGGACTCCATCTGCCGCGGAGGGGGCACTGTGAACCACAACAACAACATAATCGATCCCATGCTCGGCACCAATCCTGGATTCGTCTATTGGCCTAACGCTGGCGTGTTCATCCACCCCATGGCGCTACAGTCGCAACTGTTGTATTACCAGAAGATGGCCCAGAACGACAAATGCTATCCCAGAATGACGGAACAGCCGGGGAAAGAGCAGAAGATCATCCCGAAATCGCTGTATTCGATGATGGAGACCAAGAGCCCACCTCTGTCCACGCCCGTGACCACGCCTCTAGCTACGCCTCCCGCCCAGGCCATGCCACAGGCCGTCCAAGCCCCGCCTCCGGTGTCCCCGAGGCCGAAGAGGAACGTGGTAGGGCAGAGCCAGGGCCAGCCCACGAAGCGGAAACGTTCAGCGATCTTCATCCCACCCATGCCCACAGAGAACAACAACAACCCAGCGACAGAGGTCAGCATCTGCAAGTTCAAGTTCACGGGCGGGGCTAAGCCCAGCCTCCAAGAGAAGAAGAGCCTCTCGGTCGACTCCGGAGGCAACTTCAGGTACTACAGTGGGACAGGCGACAAAAGTATGAGGGGTTACGAGTTCTTCCCGCGGGAGGCGTTGCAACAGTCCGCCGGCCAATCCGGCTCCTCGACCGGGGCGTTCCTGAACGCTGCGGGGGAGAGGATACAGCCTGCTCCTTGCCAGAGGACCGCCCAGGAGGAGGGCCGCAGGAAGAGGAAGACCAGAAAGTCCCTGCAGAGGGAGAAACTCGAGCAGACGTTCAAGGAGAAGGGCTTCCTGATACAGACTCAGCAGCTGGAGTCTGCAGAGGGCGCCACTTACTGCAAGTTTAGGCAGCTCAGGAAGTTCACCAGGTATTTGTTCAGGAGCTGGAAGGACTATCTGCCCGGCAATGTGAGGGAGTTGACGGGGGTGACGGATAGCGAGATGGCTGATGCAGAGGCGGAGGGGGATTCTAGCGTGCTCGCATCGCCTCTCGCGCATCCGAATATGGTTGACGTGGCGCCCGGGTTTGTCGAAGACCATCGCGCATTGCCGTTGACGTGAGACTGGCGTGTTGTCGTCTTTGGGAGAGTTTGCGTTTGTTGATGGGTGCTGGGCGCGAGAGGAGGTGTTGACGAGCTGTGGAGTGGGAGAGTTGGACGTTGGCACGTTTATGGCAAGGGAGTAGTCTTTCGCGTTGGAGGAGTCCGGTGGTAGCAGTGTCTTGGAAGATGGTCTCTATGGATTTTGGTGGGGGTTTCGTGCGTTTGATAGCTTTGGCGGAAGAGTTGCTAGAAGGATTTGGTAAGTCAGGTGAAGTTTTTGAAAATTGACGAAGACTCTAAGATCAGTATTCGCGTTATGATCTTAAAGTGATACGAGAACAAACGGTTACGAAGTTTATTCAAGTTACAATTGGAGATTTTATTTGAAATTTCTAGTCTTTTCTTGTTGCAAAATTTAAGTAAGGAAATGTGAAATGAAAAAAAAAATAAGTAAGGAAATGTTAGCATTCTGTAAGCAGTGGTTCGTGCTTGGTAGTTAACTCATGACATTGCCATTTTGATATCTATGGAATTTTTTATGGAACTATTTCAAAATTTTCTTTCAACAAATGTTTGAATATCTAAAAATACACGTCTTTATTTTTACAATACGAGAACTTAATAAACGAAGAAAATCTTTGCGGTTTTATTCTAATGTAAGAGATGCTCAGTAATTAATTAAATTAATTAAATTAAATCATTGTCGCTTTTGAGCAATTTTTTAAAAATCTCTCGTTCATTGAACGTGTCATATATTAATGGAAAAATTGCACATCTTTCGGGTACATAATACTATAAATACTACAAACAAATTATTCAAAGAAAAAGTACAATTAAGGAAAAATTGTAATGTTACGAAAATCAATATTTTTATTACTAAAATATTAAAAACAAAAGATACAACTAAAAAAGAATTGCTGTGACACAAGAATCAATTTCCTAGAATAGAAATGCTAAAAAAAAATTGCTGGCACTGAAAGAACATCTTTTTGAAACTGCGAATTCAAATCTTTTAAAGAATAATTTTAATGGTATAAAAATGCCAAATTTACTAGATCTAGAGAAGAACAAGTTCGGTACTTCAATACCAAATTCTTTAACACTTTGACTGCTACGCCAACAACCACAAAAATTTTACAAAATTCAAATATTTGATTTAGTTAAATTAAAATTACATAGTTAAGTTGTATGCCATGAATTACACTTTTAAACATTCTTACGCTTTGCGGATCTTAATCGAAGGAAATTATAATAGATTAGTGTACAAAATTATCTTCAGATCTGTGCAAATAATTTCGTCACTCACATTTACTTTAATAACAAACATATTTATTATTATTAATTTATGCTAATAATAAAAAATATCTGTTGGTAGTATGCTATTCAAAGTGTTAAGGGAGCGAAAGTGGAGGTTTTCTTCTATAAAACGAGCACTGGTTGCACTCGCATACAGACAGCGTAGAAAGTATTCGCGATTCATCAATATGTTTTTCCTATCATACTTTTACAATTCCCGAAAGGATTTTTAGGTGTCCGCCTCCGATGGTTTTGGTTTTTGGATATGTTATAGAGAACCAAAAAATATGAGGTACATATTTTTTTATATCGGGGGAGAACCACCCCCCACACACACACACAACACGAAGTTGATAAGATGGAATACGAAAAATCGCTTAAAGTTAGTTGAAGAATTATTATCAAACTTGTTATAAATTTAATTTGTGGCATATCTAGGTGGCTGAATACTACTGTCGTTGTTGGTCATCCTTGACACTGGGTAAACCACCCCTAATCGTTCCAATGCACATTTAAAAGAGTTGAAACCTGCAAGGAGTTCATATAATCTTTAAGAAAACAAATCATTGCGCGATGACAAATTGGTGGATTTATGACCTTCCACCCTTACTGAGGAGTAAACCACCCCTAACTGTGATAAACTACATTTGCCTTAATAGAGGCCGATCAAATTTAAGTAAAGATTATTTCTTGAAAATTGTGTTGTGAATAAAAAAGTACTTTGTTAATATGAATATTATTATTTGAGAAATATATATTAAATTATATTTAAAAGTGCAAATTGATATTAAAAGTTTAAGAAATAAAAAAAACGTGAGATTATGAAGTGCCAATGAAGTAACACTTGTTTTAACGTTAACACTTATTACGGAACACATATGCAGTAAATTCTCCCTAATAATTGTCCCCCAGCTTGGGAACAAAAATGGATAACTTGGGAAGAAAGGATGCGATTATTCGAGCCTTACGGCTCGTTTTTATAGTTGCCGATTATCAACAACTATTAAAATGAGCTCGAAAAATTATATCCCCTCTTCCCAAGTTGTCTATTTTTGTTTCCAAGCTGAGGGACAATTATTAGGAAGAATTTACTGCATACGTACACAAAATGTTTTCGAGCCGCGGGGCTCGAAAAATTGTATCCCCTCTTCTCAAGTTGTCCATTTCTATCTCCAAGCTGAAGGAGAACTGGAAAGAATTTACTGTAATCAGCTTGATATGTTTTATCTTTCGATTTCTCTTCTGCGAAACCGCATTCTCAGTCGCAGCCAAGTACGTGACGCCTTGACAGAAGTGTGCAGCGACAAAAAATGATTATTAATCCGACAAACGTGTTGAATTCGTTATTAGCAACATTCGATACAATGTATTGTAATTTCTCTCAGAAATGTTCAGAAGTCAAAAGTGAAGCCGGCAGATCTGAGAATACTAAGTCGCGATTCTTCGAGCTTCGCGGCTTGTTTTTATAGAAACTCGGGCCAGTCGGCCAAGAAAGGCAGCGACCGGCATGCCGGTATATGTTAATACGAATACATAAAATTCGAAATAATAATTCGAAGCCAATTCGGGGGTCATATGCCACGATTCGAAGGCAATTCAGAGGTCATATGATACGATTCGAAGATAATTCGGAGGCCACATGATACGATTCGAAAGCAATTCGGAGACCACATGATACGATTCGAAAGCAATTCGGAGGCCACATGATACGATTCGAAAGCAATTCGGAGACCACATGATACGATTCGAAAGCAATTCGGAGGCCACATGATACGATTCGAAAGCAATTCGGAGACCACATGATACGATTCGAAAGCAATTCGGAGGCCACATGATACGATTCGAAAGCAATTCGGAGACCACATGATACGATTCGAAGGAAATTCGGAGGCCGCAATATCACGATTCTACAGTCACGTATCTAGTACCTACTACGTGCTTTATAGTTTTGCGGTTTTTCTTACCTGACTCACACCCCAAACAGACAATTTTGTGTCATCCTCCAGGAATGCGTGTCACGTGCCGCATTACACGCTTGACCGACTCCGTCGACCCTTAACATCGACGTAACAATAAATTACATGGGCGTAGGACTGGCACAGGGAAGTTCGCAGCAACCCGAAATTTGGCATTTCCGGGAGAAATTACTGTACTTGATGGAAGAGAAGAGGAATATAGCCTTGACATAACAAGGGAAGAGATTCAGTTGGTGTAGTCTATAGGGAAAAGTTAGCTTGATAACACATTTGAATCTAATGCAGTGAAGAAATTTCGGGAGAGTTTTCTTTGGATTTTTCTGGATCAATTGAACCCTTTGCACTCGAATGGCGACTCTGCGGCGCCACTAGAAATTGGTATACTATTTTTCAAAATCATTCTAAAAGCATCAAACTCGTTTATATTTAAAAAAAGCTATTAAAATTCCATTGTACTTGCCAATAGGCTCAATTTCATATGCACAAATCGCAATAAATTATATAAAATAGAAATACTGTAGATCAGAAATCATGTTTTGGATTTCGAATTCAAATAGCTTCGACTGCAAAGGGTTAAAGAGTGTGAAATTGAAGCTGCCGACGAAAATGATAACGGTGACAATTGGTCCGAGGAAACATATGTTGGCGTTTGTTCACAGCCGGATAAAGATGTTGATGTTGACTATGAGCAGGGAGCATTTTGGAATAGTGCGGAAAAAAGACGCAAGCTTAAACACAGTTCAGCATCATTTCAAACTTGTTTCATCCGAACAGCAATTACGTCGATGGGCTAAAAAGTTCGAAATAGGAGGAACCAAACGAGAAAAATTCGCAGGAATTTCTGAGTACGTAATACAAAATTTCAGGAAAGCATTTGATGCCGGTTATATCTCGCACGACAGAGATATCCGACGATGGACTTTGAAGTCATATGCGGAACAGAGTAATAATAATAATAGTATGGTTACCAGAACATGGCTATATATAATTTTAAAAAATCTCATCGCATTGCTCCTCGGAATGTAACTAAATTTGTTACACGAAAAGCAATAGAAGACGATTATAAGGTTTTAAAGACTATAACTGCAGACTTCGTTAATATGACAAAGATCGCAACATATGGATAAAAAAATATATGCAATTCGGACCAGAGTGGATTTCAATTAGAAATACAAGGGTGTATCAAATAATTCCCGAAAAACATTTTTAAAACTTTATTTATTGAACATTAGTAGATCATTTTTCTACATAGGCACCATCTAACTTAAGATACTTCTCCACGCGGTGTCGCCATCTTTCTAACCCGTTTTTATAAAAAGTTGGTGATTGAAACCACAGTAAAACGGCGCGTTTCACTTCAGATATTGATTCCCAGCGGACTCCTTTCAAGCTTTCTCTTAACTTTGGAAATAAGAAAAAGTCCGACAGAGCTAAATCGGGGCTATACACGGTGCACGTAGAAGCAATTTCCATAGAAATTTCCTCAAAACAGCTCTTGAAACAGTCGGCGAATGTGCTGAGACATTGTCATGGTGAAAAAGATCACGATTCTGCAATTTTCTAGGTCATTTTTTCTTAAGTGCTTCATGATGTTTTCTTAAAACATCTATATGAGATGTCCCGGTAATAGTTCTTTCGTCTTCCGCGAAATTACGCCTTCACGGCCCGAAAAAAACTGGCGTTAAAATCTTTTTAACCGACTTCTCGGTGCGAAATTTGATTGGTCCACGTGAACTTCTTAATGACCACTGTTTTGATTGAATTTTGCTCTCTGGGTAATATTGGTAAACCGATGTTTCGTCACCGGATACTAATCGAGAAGGAAAATCTTCAGAATCTACATCAAAACGGTTTAAAAAGTTAAGAGCATTGTCTATTCGCGCGGTCACGTGCTCTGCGTGCAACGCTTTCGGTACCCAACGGGCAGAAAGCTTGCTCAGTCTCAGGCTACCAGTTACAACAGTTGTTTGAACTGATCCATAGGAGATGTGCACTCGTGCGGCTATTTCATGGAGCAACACGCGTCCATCTTGCTTTACAATTTCTTGCTCCGCGAGCACATTTTCGTCGGTGACCGAAATTGCAGGCTTTCCGCTGCGATCATCGTCTTCAAGCGATTCTCTATCTTCCTTGAATCGTTTCATCCATTCATAAACAGCAGGTTTCCCATAAATTTGCGCATTTGTCCCATAAACTTTCTCCAAATTTTGAACAATGTCTGCAGATTTCCATTCAAATTTTCTAAGAAACTCTACAACAGTGCGGACTTGAAATTTAAAATCTACCATGTCGCGACAACAAAGAAAAGTTGAAGTTCTGTTAACGCAATTGTAAACAAACAAAACAAGATTTTCTAGCCTACTAAGATAGCAAGCAAGTGTACGCTTGAAAAAAATGTAGGTTTGGTTTTGCAATTATAACCGGTAGCGTAGTCAAAAATTCTTTCCAGGTATTATTTGATATACCCGTATGCATTCTGGTGGAACCTTACAACTGAATTTTTTCCCTTGTTGTGGGAGTTTCCATCAATTATAGTAAATTCTGCCTAATTGGCGCTCAGCTTGGAAACAAAAATTTGGAAAAAATTTGGAAAAAATTGCGGCTCGTTTTCATAGTTGTTGATGATCGGTGACTATAAAAAAGAGCCGCAAGGCTCAAATAATTGTATCCCCTCTTCTCAAATTGTCCATTTTTGTTTTCAAGCTGAGCGTCAATTAGAGAGAATTTACTGAACATTGCATCGAATGTTGCTAATAACAAATTCAACACGTTTATTGGATTAATAAGCATTTTTTATCGCTGCACTAGCGGAGTCGCTTCTGTTAATAAATAATATATCCAAAAATCCACTAATTTGTTATCGCTCAATAATTTGTTAGAATAAAATCTATGATTTCTTAAAGATTATACGAACTCTTTGCAGGTATTATTGGAAATGGGTAGATAAATAAAAGTAAAACGCAGTGAATTAAACTTATCCCTTTTAGTTTATTAATTTGATGTACGAGGAAGGACCGTCTTTACTCTCCTGATTGCTCCAGGAGACTGAAGACTATTCACAAAGACGAAACCAAAAACGTCACCTAAAGACAAAGAGCACTCTGTTCTATATCTGTCTCTTATACACATCTAGATGTGTATAAGAGACAGACCAAAAACGTCACCTAAAGACAAAGAGCACTCTGTTCTATATCTGTCTCTTATACACATCTAGATGTGTATAAGAGACAGACCAAAAACGTCACCTAAAGACAAAGAGCACTCTGTTCTATATCTGTCTCTTATACACATCTAGATGTGTATAAGAGACAGACCAAAAACGTCACCTAAAGACAAAGAGCACTCTGTTCTATATCTGTCTCTTATACACATCTAGATGTGTATAAGAGACAGACCAAAAACGTCACCTAAAGACAAAGAGCACTCTGTTCTATATCTGTCTCTTATACACATCTAGATGTGTATAAGAGACAGACCAAAAACGTCACCTAAAGACAAAGAGCACTCTGTTCTATATACATATGAAATCATTGTTTATCTAATGGTACTCTGGCGAGACTCTCGGCGTCGATTCGTTTTTGTAACTTATATGCTAGAAGGAAAAACTTCTGAGTATTCAAAAGAGAGAAAATAATCCAATAGGTATTAACTCTTTCAAATGTGCATCGGAACGGTCAAGGGTGGTTTACGCCGTGTCAGAGGTAACTGACAGCAAGAACAGTGTCCGCCCACTCAGATACGCTGTAAATTAAGTTTATAACGAGTTTGATAAGAATCCTTCAGCCAACAAGCGATTTTTTGTATTCTATCTTATCAACTTCGAGGGGTGGTTTCTTCTCGAAAATATGAAATTGGGCCGATATAAAAAAACGATACTTATCCCTTATTTTTTAGTCCTCTATGAGGCATCTAAAAACCAAAGAAATCGGCAGCGGACACCTAAAAACCCTCCCTTGTCAGAGCAAACGCAGCACTGAAGATGTTGCAAATTAAAAGGTTTCCAAAATCATTCAAAAATTTTGTTCGCGCATAAATCGGCCACAGATTTGAAGATCGAAGCGTCCCCTTTACAGTGACCCCTCGAAACTTCGTGTACGATTTTTTCTAGTCCTTTCATGAAACAGGAACAAAGAACAGGTTCGGTCGTATAGAGCTCTCACGAAACTTGTGTTAGTGTAAAGTTGGCAATACACCTTTCATTCGAAGCTCAACAGGGTGACTGGCAAAACTCGTACATCCAAGTTTAAGAAGAGATTGAAAGGAGGCTTGAAGGGAGGCTTCAATCTTGAAATCTGCGTTAAGATCAGTCTGGGAAAAAATGGTCCAGCGTATTTGCAGCTGTGCCAATCCGTAATATTTTCCAGAATGAGCATGTCTTCAGTTTCCCATCTGTCACATTATGGAAAAACATGTTGCAGAAAAATGAACGATGCACAGTGTAAGTAGAAGCTTCAGGCTTCAAAATAAGTCGAGAAATCGAATTATAACGGTTCGAGTGTAGACGTCAAAATCGTACTCGTCGAAAATCGATAATACAATATGCGAATACTTTTTACACTGGCTGTGGTTACAAAGTTGCAAAGTTGCAAACGTGGTAATTGTTTAAAGAAA